CGCGTTGCGCTCCCGCCACTCCGTGCTCGCGATCCCGGCTCTGCGCTTCCACGCGCTTGTGCCTGGACGGACCCTCGTCAGTGCTCTGCGCAGGTAAGGACTCGATGCTGCCCCGCGCCCCGGCTCCCCAGGGCCCCCGCGGATGTGGTGTATGCTCGGCCCCTTCTGCATCCTCAGCTGGCCCCGTGTTGAACTTTAATGGGAGGGCCGGGGTCTCCAGCGCCACGCCGCCCACAGCAGCCCATTCGGGACGCCCGGCAATTGGTCCTGCCCCTGTCCTCCCGCGCATCCCAAGCTCCCGGCGCGCGCTCTGGGCGGGACAGGAGATTGGACGTGGCGCCCGCAGAGCCGGCGAACTCAGGGGACCGCGCTCGGGACCGCCCTGCAGTCCCAGGGTCTCCTACCTCCCGAGCCGCTGTCTGGGACCCTGCCCTCTGTCTGGGCACCTGCCCTTGGTGCCCCGTGACTGAGCCCCTCCTGGTGCCTCCTTAGCTGTAGCTCTAGAGACTTGGACTGCCAACCCCCAGGCCTCGTGCCTGGCGCCTTCCCAGGCGTCCCACCTGACCCGGTGGGGTCTAAAGCAGTTTGGTTTGGGAGGAGGAGAGGGAGGGAGGCGCTTGGAATGGGAGGCATGGGGGGAGGAGACAGGACACCATCGGGGGGAGGAGACAGAGGACACCCGCGTGGGCGTCTGAGAGTGGGCACCCACTGTGGGCACCGCAGCTGTGGGGCAAAGCTCTGGAGCCCGCGAAACTGAAGGAGCCTGCCGCCCTCTTTGGGCTGTGCGAGGTGGGCCGCCCAGGGCTGTTTCCCTGCCCAGTCTTGGTAAGAAAGGGTTAAACGCAGGTCACAGCAGAAAGGCAGGAGGCCGAGGTAAGCCTCCCCCACTCCCCATTGTGCCTTATGATTCTTTTTCGACACACAATGGGGTTGAAGGCGGGACCTTTATAAAGGCCTCTGGGTGGAGGGTGAAAATCATTGAGATCAAAAGAGGGGGCGATTCTCAGGCCAGGAAGGGCTCTGGGCCCTGGGAACAGAGACCGCTCAGGTGGGCCCAACTGCCCAGGGAGGCAGGGGTTGGGTTCCAGTCTCAGTGTAGATAACTGCAACTATTTTTTGAAGGCCTACCGTGCGTAGAGGGACCTGCTCTGACATCTCACGTACATAATTTCATTTTACAAATGGGGAAACTGAGGCTTAGACAATTTAGGTAAGTGGTGGGACCATTGTTTGAATCCAGACTCCAAACTCTGCAACCTTAGCCTTCTACTCCCACTGTGCTGCCTAAGAGATACGGGGCTGAGCCTTGGTTTTGTCTTGGGGCTCCTCCTGGGCTTAGCCCACTCTTCCTCCACTCTCCAGTCTTTCCCTTTCCAACTCTTTAGTCCTCCCCACCTGTGGGTGTCCCCACCCTGTCCTGCCCCAGCCATCCCACTGCCTGGCCCCATGCATCTTGTTCCTCTGTCACCTTTTTCTTTCTTGAACTGAACGCCTGTGAATTCCCTCAGAAGAGGCCCCTGGACACAGCTTCTCACCATCCCAACTGGTGAAGACTAGGCTGAGTGATGATCCGGGTCTGTGTCCCTGAGCCCATTTGTAAAAAGGGGTGTGTTCCTCTCTGGGGACTATTGTGAGGAATAAAACTGAACTGAGACCAGAACAAGATGCTATCTTCATTCAGCAAATACCTCAGCATCTGCCATGTGCTAAGCTCTGTTCTAGGTGCCGGGAATGCCGCAGTAAATCAGACAAAAGCTCTCTTCTGGATTGGATGTTTGCATAACAAAATTCTTTCAGGTTTTGAAACTATCAAAATTTACGGCGTAGACTTGAAATCAAGCTATTCGCAAGGAAGGAGATTAAGATGCAATCACCTGTCATCGCCCTCATTTTAGCAAAGGCAACCTCGCTGTGGGACCTGGGTTCAGTTCTGTTCCCTCTCCGTGCCTCAGCCTCCTCCCATAAGCTGTGGAGATCAATAATGCCTACCAGCGGTGAGGTCTAGATATGATGAATGCTTGCGAAGGGTTTAAGCTGGTACCTGTGCTTAAGAAAATCCTGGCTATCCCAGCTCTCTTCTCAGCAGAAAATGCAATGCGGAGACCGGATGTTGGGTTATATCCCTGCCTCTGAACCTGTCACCCACTTCTGCCCAGGCTCTTCCCATCCTGTCAGGCTGCACATGTGGGATGGCATGGTGCCCTCCTTGCTCACACTCAGATGCCACCTTCTGTCACCATCCTAAACACAGCCTGGGCTGGGAGCGCAGAGCTCCATGATGAGATCAGCCCTGGAGCCATCATCTCTGCAGTGCTTCCTGCCCTCTGCCTGTTCTTGTTCCTCACCATGTCCCAGCTCAGGACCAAACTTAGCCCTGTTCTGTCCCATGACTTACATACCCAACATTCCCTGCAAGCTGGATATGATCTTGGAAAGGGGAAGTGAGTTGCCCAGAGGCACACAGATGCTACCTGGGGAGCTGGTCCTGTGTATCTAGAATTCCAAATCTAGCGATCTCCATGCTGTACCCATCTCTGGGAATGAGGCTTTTTAATCCAGGGAGTAGGATCCGGTAGCAGAGCCCGAGTTCTCACCTTGAAATCAGTGTGACTTGGCTTTTTAATACAAAACCCAGAGCTCCGAGAGAACATTGCTGGGAGAGTGAGCAAGCTGGGCTGAGAACCAGCACTCAGAAATCTCCATGTGGCCACAGGAATGCTGACTTGGCTTCCCAGCACCATGTCGTCGTCATTGGCAGGCTGGAGCTGGGCTTTGTGGTATGTTAGGTTTGTTTTTTTTTCTTCTGGAGATGTCCTCACTTTCAGAGGGCAGTTAGGGGCAGTAGACTGGAGGTTCATTCCCAGCACTGCCATGCGACCCTGGACAAGTCACCTTCTCTTTCAGAGCCTCAGTTTTCTCATCTGCAGTATGGGTTAACATTATAATATACTTTGCAGGGTCGCAAGATCATAAATGGTTTTCCAACTTTGGGCTGAACCAGCATTGATGTTATTAAGACATTCATATTTCCTGTGGAGCAATTTCAAAAGCAGTTACCTTTATCCCTACCAGGTGATCCTGAGGGCCTGAGGGAAGTCCACGTTTAGGTTACAAAAGCCTACACAGCAGGGAAAACACTGGTTTGGGGGCTGGCATCTTGGATTCCAATCGCCAGCTGTGTGACCTGAGGCAAATCACTTTACCTCTCTGAGCTCATAGGAGGCCCCCAACATCAAGATAGGATGCTCAGTGTCTGAAGAACATAGTCTCCATATTTTTCTGCCTCCTTGTACCAGCCCCCAGTCCCCTGCCAACACTTCGTTAATTGCTCCCAGAAAAACTCTGTGCTTAAAGTTTTCCATGCTTAAATTCTCAGCCTCACTGTGGCATGAAATCAATTGTTTGCATTGAATTTGACTTCTCAGATTTAGGGGTAAAATTTGAGATGAGAGTAGGGGGTTAGGGAGGAGATGAGGATGAAGTTAAACCAGATGTGCTTTTGTTTAATTGTAGGATGGTGGTTAAGCTGCTCAAGTATTACCATGGTTCTTTCTGAATTCCAGTAACCAGGAGTCAGGTTTCACAAAAAATTGTAGTGTTCTTTCCTGGCTGGTGTGGACTCGCCCTCTCTATTATTATTATTATTACTATTTTATATTCATCCGAGGCCACAGAGTACTGGCCAGAGACCTCATAGATGCCCAGAATTTCAGTTGGAAGGCCTTTAGAAGCTGACTGGGTCAACTGAGCTCTCTGCACACCAGGGAGACTGAGGCCCAGAGAGGAGAAGAGGCTTGCCCAGGGTCACACAGTTGCTTAGGGCAGAGTGGAGTGGGAGTTCAGTCTCCTGACCCTAAACTACATGATCTTTCCAAAGGCAACCACTTCTCCTGTATTTGGTGTGTTTCATTTCTACAGTATATTCTTAGCATAGAATGCTTTTTGAAAAACATTGTTTAAGGGAGGATGCAGATCATGTGGGTTGGTGGAAAAGATGTTAAGCTCAGGAGAGCTGAGTTGAAGTCCTTGAACTACCTCTGTGATCTTGGGCAAGTCACTTCCCCTCTCTGAGTCTCAGATTCTTCATCTGTAAACCAAGATATCTGAGGAGTAGGAGTGGAGAGATGAGACTTCGCTAAGACTTGGAATGGGTCTAATGTGTTCAACTGGTCCCCACATATTTATAGTCTACTGTGTGCTGGGTTATGGGAGGTCCGTCACAAAGTGCCTTCCCAAGGCTGCAGGGGGTGGGGGATTGTTGACTTCTGCAGTGATTAAACAACTTTAATTTAGTTGCTGGTGTTGTTAAACCAGGCAATTTCTTTTTATATAAAAATAAGGGTTTCTGGCTTCTCTTGAAAGATCAGAAGATGTGGCCATATGGGGCTTTGTCCCTGCCTGGCCACAGTGGCTGGAACTGATTAGCCAGCTGCTCCATCCACTTTACCACAGTCTCCACCATGCCCCACTGCCTCACACCAGCCCACCTGCCTCCCTGACATTACCTGCCTACCTTCTGAGTTTGTGGTTTCTGGGCTAGATGCGGTGAGGCCATGTAAGAGGGGCTCAGATTGCACTTGAATGATTGGGTGGGGCTTGGGCCAGCCCTCAGGGGGCTCAGGGTGAGACTATGGGACACGTGGACACCAGGACACCAGCCCCTCTTCCGTAGCCTGGCAACATCTACAAAACATGTCAGCTAGGTGAAGGAGCTTTCTTCCTGCTTCAGTGGTCCTCAGGAATAGTCTGAGGGCTCTGGAGGTTTCGGAGCGATAGAGCATCTGCCTGTCAAGGCTCAGCGAGCTGAGCCCAGAGTCTAGCTGGGGACAGGCATCCCTGGGTACTTCCTTCTAAAGATTGCACAGCCCCTGCAGGGGAGAGACTCCCTTGACATCTTCCACCTTACCCCTTGCTCCCCAAGAGCCCTGTGCATTGGTGTGTCACCTCACCCTGTGCTCCCTGGTAGCCCTGTGCATCGGTGCATACCCACTTCTCAGACAGGAAACACGATCTTGCACTCTGAACCCACAGCTCTCTGTTCTACCCACTTTGCCGGGAGCCAGGGCCTGGTGATGACAGGCAGGTACCATGGT